GTGAGTAATGATTGTAAATGATGTTCCGAGGGTTTGAAACCCCAGATTGCACATTATAGTGCTATATTGAGGTGAGACACACGCTTGATGACGAGCGTGGGTCGTGCACTATTGGGGATTGTGACTTGGTCTGTCCCGACTGATGATTTTACCGCTTATTTGACTGAAATCTACTTGTTTTCATCATTATTTGGGCTAAATGCCATATTTGGGCCTTGTGCCAACTATTTGAGCCCTTCGAGGATTTTTACTGATATTTCCTCACTATTTTAACTTTATACTTGAACTAAGTCATGTTATATTTCACTGTTTTCGTACTCAGCCATGTTTACTCTGTTTTAAACACTTACATGATCTTTTAATGATATTTTTGGGCTGAGAAATATGTTTTACTACTGCCCGAGTGGCTTGTGAGGATTTTTGACTGAGTAAGATCGAGGGCCTATGTTCTAAGGAAACATTTGATACTGATTATGAGGCCGAAGGCCTGAGATATGTATGCCACGAGGTGGATTGATTGATATGAGGATGAGGGTCTAGTGATGATGCCACGAGGTGGCTTTATATTGCACTTGGGCCGTAAGGGGCCCCTCCAGGAGTCTGCACACCCCTAGTGAGCGCGAGTACCCATTGTGTTGTGAGATTGAGCTCGAGGGGCTGGTATTGTTCTATGTGAATACCCGAGGGGCTAGTACTGTTCTAAAATATTGCCCGTGGGGCGGATTTGTTGATATTGTGCCCGAGGGGCGAACCTTTATGTGGTTATTTTTCTTAATTGACTGTCAATTACCTGCTTAATTATTGAAAAGACTTTTCATGAAACTACATTTGAGATAAAGAATTTTACCTATCTTTCACTAATTTACTGCTTTTACTTGGTTTTATAGCTTCATTATAGAATGCTTTGTGCCTTACGTGATTTCTTGCTTTCAGTCTTTATTTACGTTTGTTACTCACTGAGTTGGAGTACTCACTTTATTCTATGCACCCCTGTGTGCAGATCCAGGCTTTGCTGATCCTGCCAGTGCGAGTAGAGAGCTCCCGACGGACATTCGGAGTTCACGAGGTAGCTGTTTGACGTCCGTTGACCCGTGTTTCTCCCTCTTTATCATTTCTATCTCATATCAGACTTTTGTACTAGTTGTAGACCTTTCAGACTTGTATTAGGTTTTATAGATGCTCATGACTAGTGACACCCCGGTTAGGGTTGTGTTGGGTTGTTCTTCCGCGTATTTATGATATTATCTGCTACTTTGGATTATCTATTCATGTTTAGACTATTTCTAAATGCTAAATTGTTAATAATTGGAAAAATGGGAAGTGTCGGCTGGCCTTGTCTTCACAAGAGGCGCCATCAAGACCGGGTCCGGGTTTAGAGTTGTGATATGGTTAGTTGTGGTAGTTGAGGTGGATGAGTGTGTGGTTATGGTTGAGGATGATGGTAGTGATAATAGTTAGTGGTGGCGGCTATGGTTGAAGATAATGGTGGTAGTGGCGATTGTGGTAGTTGATAATGGTAGGCAATGACGGCAGTTAGTAATGATTGTGGATGATAGCATCTTAATGAAATTAACTCTTGGTTATAGTTCTTAATCATACAGGGCTATTCAGACCCATTAAGTGGTTATAAGTAAAAAAAAATAAACGCTTTTAATGATTAAGATCTGACTGTTTAAGATTCAGACTTTAGAATCAAACACACTTAATGTATGAAATCTAAATGATTATGATTCAGACATCCATTAAGTTCAAACAAACGAGGCTTTAGTGGATATATGTTTATTGATAGATATTTGATTCATTCGACAAAAAATAGAATATACAAGTCATAATAAAACAATTGTTTGGTCTAAAAGAAATTAAGATAAACTCTTATTTTACATTTTAACCTTATTTTTATTTATAAAAAGAGGAGAAAAGTTTTGATGTAATTAATCCCGGAATTATTAATCTCAAAATTAAAATTCTACCAAATGCAAAATAAACTAATCCTAAACTTAGTTCCGAGAATATAATTCTTTAATTTATCCTGCAAATCAAACGACCCTTTAATGTTTAAGTGTTTTAAAACATAAAATAAAAAAAATAAAATAACTTTGCTTGACGATATTGTCGCGACTTATATGTAACAAAACAAAATTGTATAAATTTGATACAAAAAATATATAGTTACGTGATTATTTGTGTAATTTACCCTAATATATAATCCCAAAGTTCTCCCCGCAAACGAAAACACAAGTGATTTTTCAATTATTCTTCAAATAACAATGTCAATCCAAAGTGAGATTTTTCATAAGTAACAATGTTACTTTAAGATCTCCCTCTAAAAATTACACAAAGCCTATAAATGGGTTTTAAAGGATAAACTATGAGCCCATGTGGCATGTTAGTTCATATGCTAGTTGATCTCACTGGTTCGAACATTTGTTAATTTGAAGAATTAACCTAAATTCTCCTTTATCCACCCCTGCCCCCCCCCCCCC